TGGAGCCTCATGTATTTCAAAAGCCAAATGATGACGAGTCACATGCACTGCTATAGATGGAGCCTCATTGTCTTTCATAAAACCCTGGGCAAATAAATGCAGCGGGCATTTGACACAGTCTCAGGCTCTCAGCAATGCAAACAGGTGAAAATCCTGGTAATTGGCATTCAGCATGGGACAAAATCCCATTTTGAGGGAGGGGGAACCAGAAGCAAATACATTTCACAAAGGGAAGCACATTTCTTATGGGAAATATGGTAAGAAAAAAGTCTACTTGAGTATGGTGCGGTTTTGGATATGTATGCATGTACCGATAAGCTTACACTGCATGGTCTGCGTCTTTGAAAACATGAGCAATTATGCATGATAATTTTTCACCAGCTGCCCTAATGTTGCCAGGCATCAAACTTTCACTGACCGCAAAGTTGCCACAACAAATTAGAGGTACATGTATTGTACATCATTTTAAATACGATTACACTTGGAGAGTTAAATATATCAACATGATCTACACGTGCCATCTCTTGAAAATGATCCATGGGCATAGCGACATAAACCTGAAGAATCTGCAATGCAACTACTTCAGGACATAAATGGGGCCATACTTTGAATGACAAGCCTTGTGATACTTAATGTCATCACCTGAGTGGTCAGAATAGCTCATTTCCATATCCATGAGTCACCATACCGGTAATCTGCACACTTACATGTACTTCCAGTACTTTGACCAAAATTTGTTCTTAAACTGAATTTCTAATGGTTTTACTCTCAGTAGTTGAAAGTTTGACTAAATCCAACTAAAATTGACTAAAATTAATATGAGTAATTGATCTGGATTTTATGACAAAACTTGATCTCTTTCTAGGTGTACATGTACTTCTGAAAAGAAATTTCCAAAGTAAAACGGTCGAGCCGATATGTGACTAGTGTGGTTCCCTGACCACAGATTTCTCAGACATCTCTGCACATACATGTAATCTTAGCGGGAGTAGCCAAAATTCTGGGGATTGGCATCTAAAGCAACATAAACATTGGTGGCCCAAAGATACTGCACAGAGAATGCAGATGTGATCATCGAGGGGAAAAGAGGATTAAGGATGGCAGAAAAAACCTACATGTGGAGCAGTTCACAATATGTTAGTTACAGGTACATGTATTATCATATGGTCTTTAAGAGAACATTTGCTTCAGAAAGCGCAAACGGATGTTTCATCTGGTACTCCAACTGGGCAGCTTTCAAAATACAAAAGTGTGCGGAACCATCAAAAACATGGAGAGCAGTTCCAGTACAGTGTACCATACAGAGTAGTACCAACGTAGCTCTACTACATGTATATGTAAGTGGAGCATTGTTGATGGTGACAGTTGGGAGTGCTACATGTACATGTACCAACGACTGTCTTGTGCCCTAACTACATATGGGCTGCTCCTGCGGTTTCGTTAGAGGATCATGTTCGCCCACTGAGTTACTGGTATTGCAATTGCAAAATCTCGGCCCGCGTATTTGAATGGAGCAGGCGGTGAAAAGTTTAAGTGTCGTGCATGTGTCTAGCCCCACTAGTGTGGCATGGACCCTCGCTATCGCTCCATCCTAAGCCACACATCCGTATGTGATGCAATTTCGTGTCGGCGTGGTGAAATTTTCAGCGCACCCTTTTATAATTGTAGGTGCAATTTTTTTTGCACATACAAATGATCCTTAGTCTGTCCACATTCTAATTACCATTTACTGAATGATTTCACTCACGTTATTCTGGCATGTTCCAGTCTTTTTGCCTTTACCCATTCAATCTCACGGTCGCACTCTCCCTGCCACACTAGTAAGGCTAGCGTGTATCAAGCGAAAACGGTCGGATTTCATTGTCACTTTATGTTATGGAGCATTAGTATGACCAATCTCATCCAAAATCCAAAAAGCGGAATACTAACGTTCCACTTAGTAGAGCTACATGTACATGTACATACACGTATGTACATGTATTTACATGTATGTATATGTAGCACCGACGTATGTAGGCTAGCATAGGCTTAGTACTAGCCAAGCCGGACTCCCTGACCGTACTACGTTACGAAGACAACGTCCAACCTGGGCTAAGCTTAGTACTAGTAGGCCTATAGGCCTACTAATAAAACCACATCATCATCTGATCTAGCCCCACTGGTCTGCTGGTGTGGCACGGACTCTTGCTACTGCTCCATCCTTAGCCACACATCCGTATACGCAATTTGCGTGTCGGCATAGTGAAGTTTGGCGCACCCTCTTATAATCATACATGTAGGTTTTTTTTTTTTTTTGCATATTGAGATGATCCTTAACCTCTCCGCTTTCATAGCGCCATTTATTGAATGATTTCACTCACATAGTTCTGGTATTTTCCAGTCTTTTTGCCTTTCTCACGGGCTTTCTCTCACAGTCGCCATCTTTAAAATAAGGTTGTTGAACACTACGTCAGTTGGCCCCTCATTGTCTCAACGGCTGTTCCATGTCAGGACATACACCTGTATCTAACACACGGACTGAGCAATAAGATACTACATGTACCTGCCAAAACTTGGGCAGCAGCTTAGATTTATCTTGACACGACAGCTGTCAAGATGATGAGGGGTTAAGTGACGTAATGAGCAATGACCTTATTTTAAGGATGGCGACTGTGAGAGCGAGCCCGTGAGATTGAATGGGTGAAGGCAAAAAGACTGGAAAATACCAGAAGAACATGACTTCAATAAATGACCCAAGAAAGTTGAGAGGCTAAGGATCATCTCTGTGTGCCAAATAAATTACGCCTACGCTTACAAGAGGATGCACCGAACTTTTTCACTACGCCGACACGCAGATTGCGGATCTGTGGCTAAGAGCGGTAGAGCATGCAGCGAGAGTCCGTGTAGAGGGGCTAGGCCTAACTATACTGTACGTGTACATGTACATCTGATCATGATTGTGTATGCTATATTGCTAGCTTTATTTCATGGTGTCGCGCTGTTTTTTCGTCATTTTTGCGTNGTGGGGCTACATGTACATCTGATAATGATTGTGTATGCTATATTGCTAGCTTTATTTCATGCTGTTGCGCTGTTTTTTCGTCATTTTTGCGGATAATGGCTACTTGCCATCAATGCTATCGATAATAAAGGAAAATATTGTGAAATCATTACTTTGGATGGAAAAAATCTCACATTTCTGGATATCCACGTTGTGCATCCCGCCGTTGCGTATCCTGTCTGATATATAGCGCCCTCTGTTGAAAAAATGAACAGCGCCCTCTTCTGACATTGAAAAAGCAGCTCATAAATAACGCCCCCTATTGGTAAAAGTGAGGGCGCCCTCTCTGGCAATGCTACTTGATGCTAGTTTGAAAGCGCCCTCTACTTAATAGTAAGAAAATGAAATAGCGCCCTCTATTAATTTAGGACAAATCAAACAGCGAAGCCACCAAAAATTACTATGCCGCCCTCCGAAACTTAGAGTAAATCTCATTTTTGTAGGATGGCGCCCTCAAATAATGGCCCCATTTTTATAGATTCTACAGCTTCCTCTACTGATCTTTGCCTTGGCTCGTCTTCTGCATTCTATGCAGAAAACTTTGAAAAATTTGTCGATTTCAAGGCATTTCCATAAAATTCAGAATGTGATTTTTTTCTGCAAAGAACGCCCCTCATGATACCTTTCGGGTAAAATAAAACATATGGGAGGTGGGGTAGGGTGGCAATAGTTTTTGACTCAAACATTATTATTCCTTGAATAAATTTATTAAGTAGCTGTATCACACTGTCTCTGCTTGTTATGTTCCATCTTACAAGTTTTTAAAAACAGATCCTTTCAAAATTGTTGTTGAAAGGTAATGGGACATCACCAATCTTATTCGCACTTAAGTCAGAGTTTTCTTTAATACTTTAATACAACTATATCCTTCATGCATATTCATGATCAACCAGAGGCAAACCTCTCATGGGACTGTACGCACCATCATGTGCCCACCATTCATGTTGTTCGAACGTACACACAGAGAAAATACGCATTTGCAGAGGAACTAACTAGCACACGGGTATGTGTGAGTTTGTCTGTGTAGATCTTCGAAGCAATCGAGGAACTGCCGCATGGGTGTAATGTGCACTTACGAGCATCACCTCTGCAGACACATGAAGCAAGGGGTACTCTTAACAATTTATTAGCATTTTTCTAAGCTTTTGTGCGTCTAAACAGGATAGGTTTGATTTTACAGAGTTTAAATGAATTTATGGAGCTGTAGAAAACATAAATAACACGGCATTTTATTCAAATGAATTAATTTTAAGGTTAAACCTCAGAAAATGAATTCTCATTTTACAATAACT